ATATTTATTTATTAACTTTTCTTTCCAAAAATTATAAACTTTTAATTAATAAGGATCAAAGGAACTGAGTTTTTGCCACAAATTCTTATTTTCTAATCCCTATATCTTAGCAACCTGATCTTTGATATTTCAAACTATCGTCATTTACTCATCATTAATTCATAGTTTGAAATATCAAAGGTATCCGACATTGAATTGCAAAGATAAAAGGATTAGAAAATAAGGAGTAAGAAGAAAATAAGAAGATACCGACAACTATCAATACGTATTTAATACAAGAAGTTAATGTCATAAAACCTTCAATGTTTCAATCTGCTGAACAATCCTGTACTTTCTAGTAAAGGATGCATGTGGTTAACACCCAGAAGTAACCCTGCCCCTTTATACAATTTCCGAAGTGTGTCATCTATAATAAAAAAAAATAAAAGTTATATAGTCAATATATTTGACGTGAAACATTAAGTAACTTTTTATGTTTTCAATCCTAACTCTTCTTATTGAAGAGAAATTGTGAATAACAAAAATGTTTTAAATGCGTATTAACATAATCTAAGATTTAGTAAAACCAAGAGTTTAAGCATTAATTTTGATATCCACCATTCTAAAGTTTTCAGCTCTGATTTTCTAACCCCTCTATCCTTGAAACCAATGTCGCTGACATTAAATATTTCAAACTATGAATCCTGTTATAACAAACAGTTTAAGGTTAAAATATCCAAGGTTTACACTATCAGGAATTAGATATCAGGATATAGGAATAAGAAAATTTAAGTTTGTGACAAATACTCAATTCCTTTATATCATTTAAACTTGTCCGCTTAATTTATCTGATCTTCAACTCCTAAGATGTATATCGATGAATATTTTGTATATATATACATATATATATACATATATATATAAATATATATATATCTTTACATACAATAATATAATGCAGTAATAATTGTAAATTTTAGTCCTCTCAGTCTCTTGCTGGAATGATGGATAGATGGATAGATATGATTAGTTCTCAAATCATTACCAAATTCCTTTAATAATAATAATAATGATAATAATAATGAAGATTATGTTAAAAGTAAAAGAAATAATGCCCTAAATCATTCAAAGTTAATATTTAGAAACCTTAGAAATTCTTGCAAAGATTAATTATGATTGTAATAAACTAATACTATTTCTTACCAACCAAATAATAACGTATTAGAAACCTGACACCTGAAAACTCAAAGAAAAAGACGTTTTCCTGTAAATTATGCATTTATGATAATCATATATAAATATATAATATATAGATATATACGTTTATATTTATAAACATAAATATGGCTTCTTTCATCTAATTTATTGTTCACACATTTTCACATGAAAATGTCAAAATGTTTAATTTCAGTCATATCGTAATTTTTTCAAATTTTTTAAATAGGCAAGTCAAACATCTGACATAAAGGTTTTGACAAATTGTGACTTTTTTCTTTCAAGATTCGATAAATAAATGTTAAAAAAGTAACCTGGCATAATTTACTTATTTCTCTGAAAAAATCAAGCCTAATGTTGTAAAAAGAAATACAAAAATTGTAATCCAAATTTTGAGTCAGAGCATTAAGATAAATGCACACACAACAGATATTCTGTTCACGTTGAAAACTTTAATGGTTTAAAAACATCTTTGGTCATTGGCAAGCTTTTGATAGCAAATCATATGTGTTTAGAATCGTTTATTTTATAAAACAAGCTTTTTTACCCATTGATGTATAACATGAGGTTAAAGCTTGCCAAGTATTAAATCTGCATAAAATGCTTTACCAACATTTGTACTTTTACTGGTTGGGCTTTTCAACCTCGGACACTCATTTGGTTTTCGTTGTGATAAAAAAGCTAATTTTTTCTCATTGATATTGATATGGAAAAAGAAGTTTGTTTCAAAGATGCCAAATTTTTAAATAGCTTTTGGGTGGCATGTTTTAAAAATGACTCTGATCCAAGATAGATATTTCTGTAGAATTTGTATTTGGTATGCAAGTAATGCAAGTAATGTCATAGATATGAATATAGGTATGCAAGCAATGCTATTGAGAATTTTACACTGAAATCAAGCATAATGTTGCCGTTTACATCTTTTTTATTTTTAAAACCATTTTGCAAAATATTTAAAATTTGTTCATAATAAATATTTTATTTTGCTCGACTTTACCAAAGAAATTAAGCTTTTGTCAGAAGCTCAAATTTTCCAATTTATAAATCTTTGTAACTTGATGATGAGAACCTTTTTCACTGAACCCTGAACCAGGACCCTAGCTGTATACCAATTGTTTAAAAAAACGACTAAGGCGTTCCTCCCCTCTTTAAGTTATCTAGACCGTTTCGTTAAGCATTTTCTCGTTTGTTAATGTTCAAAGATTTGACCAATTTAAACCTAGATCGATCTTATGTCAGGATTAATAGTTGAGACAAATTCAAAAATGTCATTTAAGACGAACTGAGTTCGAATTTAATGATTTTGAGCCGCGTCTCAAATCCACCAAAACCGGTTTCAATTGAGCGCCAGCTTAAATTTTGAAACATTGAATACAATTTTAAGTGAAACCGACCATATTTGAGCTGGGTCTTAAATTCTTTGAAGGGAGTGTTCGCGAAAAAGGAAAGGGGGTATAGGCTTAATGCGATAAAAAAGCGCTTTTGATCGCTACTAATCTTACTTCTATCTGTTGCGTCTATAAGGAGAAAATTGATAAACCCGTCTCATACCGAAGAGCGTAGCGCCCATACAAATTGAGGACGTTGGAACATACGACTTAGACCGTAAAAAAATCAAATTAATATCAAACAAATCATTCAGATATTACAACCTTTAGTCATCGATTATCTTTCGCCGCATTTGTATATATCTAATATTTTATACTAGTTTTGATTTAGTTTTTTAAAATAATATTTAGCTTACAACTTGTTTTCAAACATTCCTGGAAAATATGAAAATGTCGTCTTCATTACCAAAAATCCTGGAAACAGGAATAAACGTTTTTATAAGTAACTCTCAGATCATAACAATTAAAACATATTATTTTTCATCAACTATATATAAACGTGGCGAAAGATAATCGATGACTATAGGTTGTAATATCTGAATGATTTGTTTGAAATTACATTGATTTTTTTACGGTCTAAGTCGTATGTTGCAATTTTCTCAATTTGTATGAACGTCATGTTATTCGGTATGAGACGTCTTTAACAATTTTCTCCTTATAGACGCAACAGATAGAAGTAAGATTAGAAGCGATCAAAAGCGCTTTTTTATCGCATTAAGCCTATACCCCCTTTCATTTTTCGCGAACACTCCCTTTAAATTTGTATTTAATTCTACGCAAGTTTTTGTTTACAGAGGCTGAATTTTTTGCCGATTTTTTCGTGAGTCCAAAATCTGGTTAACATTTTGATCAAAAAAAAATTCATCATAATTAGCACTTTTACAGTTGAGGAAAAGTAGTCACTCCCAGAAGCTAAAGTTTTTATTCGATTTTAAGATTTTAAAACTGCAGTTTTATCAGATTTTTGTATCTTTTACATTTTAACTATCTCCAATTATACATAATTTGTTTCGTGTTAATATCAAAGGATGTATGAATTAAGAAATGTAACAAAATTGATTTTTATTTCATTTAAATCTCCTATAGGTCTTATAAAATAAAAACTCAACAGAAACTTTTATTAATTTCTAAATTTATCATTTTAACATTTGAATTACTAACAAACTAATAATAACAATTATTTTAAAATTTTACTAAAAGATACAAAATTATTATTACTTATTTTATAGCGTATCACAGCATATACATAAAAGTAATAATGAGACATTAAATTCCTCTTTCATACATAAAAAAGGTTAAATACAAGGGTAACTAAAAACTTCATTTTTTTTTTAAATGATTAAAAATTATTTACGCTTTCATATTTATACAGATTAAAATAATTTGACTAGTTTTGAACTTATAAAAGATTAATTTCTTTTTAGTTCAGAAATCTTTGGTGTAAATTTTGATAGTTGAAAACTTTTAAATGGATTGAATAAGATAAACTCATTATCATGAGTAGATTAATTAATGTTTAACCCATTCAGCCTATTTAAAAGTTTGTGTCTCAGCAGTCAGGAAGTATAATATGTCGAATAAAAGTAAACAATAATCAAAAAAATAGATACAAAAAAATATGTTTGGCTGGCTTTGTTTAAATTTCCTCAACCTTCATATAATGTTTAAATAATAGGTATATACGAGATTATCATTTTTGACTTTCAAGATTATCTTGTAAATTTATGCAGAAGCTCGACTTAAAGACATTTAAAATGTACAACTAGTACTTTTTGTGACGATATTTCAAAATTGTCTATTTTTGGATTTTAAATGCTGAGTTGAGAATAGAAAATACATGGATTTAATATTCAAAATTTATTTCTGGAATTTGGAATCTGGAATCTAGAATCTGGAATCTGGAATCTGGAATCTAGAATCTGGAATCTGGAATCTAGAATCTGGAATCTGGAATCTGGAATCTAGAATCTGGAATCTAGAATCTGGAATATAGAATCTGGAATCTAGAATCTGGAATCTAGAATCTGGAATCTGGAATCTAGAATCTGGAATCTAGAATCTGGAATCTAGAATCTGGAATCTAGAATCTGGAGTCTAGAATCTGGAATCTAAAATCTGGAATCTAGAATCTGGAATTTAAAATCTAGAATCTGGAATCTAGAATCTGGAATCTAGAATCTGGAATCTAAAATCTGGAATCTAGAATCTGGAATCTAAAATCTGGAATCTAGAATCTGGAATCTATAATCTGGAATTTAGAATCTATAATCTAGAATCTGGAATCTGGAATCTAGAATCTAGAATCTAGAATCTGGAATCTAGAATCAAGAATCTAGAATCTAGAATCTTGAATCTTGAATCTAGAATCTAGAATCTAGAATCTAGAATCTAGAATCTAGAATCTAGAATCTAGAATCTAGAATCTAGAATCTAGAATCTAGAAAATGGAATCTGGAATCTGGAATCTGGAATCTGGAATCTAGAATCTGGATTCTATGATTACACTTGGGTGATATTTCTGTTCTTTGCTTGAAGTCTGGAAGAACTCAGAGAGAGCTGGGAGCCATGGAGACTTGGATTCGTAATACCTAGATAGATAGATAATTAGTTATATAGATAGATAGATATATAGATAGATAGATAGATAGATAGATAGACATGTAGACAGATAGACAGATAGACAGATAGACAGATAGACAGATAGACAGATAGACAGATAGACAGATAGACAGATAGACAGATAGACAGATAGATAAATTGATAGATAGACGTAGATATAGAGATAAATAGATAATAACTAAATATATAGATATTTACCAAGAGTGGAAGAAGACAGATCACTATTGACAAGCCTCTGATTGGATTTATTTAGACCTGGATCCACGATATAATCCCTTGTATCCTGGTGTCCGTATCCGTGATCCAGGTTCCCATAGCCTTGATCCAGGTTCCCATATCCCAGGTTCTCTTGATCCAGGTTCCAGTATCCCGTGGTTCCGTATTCTGGTCTGTAACCAACACCACCGTAAACCTGGTAGCCTTGATCCCTGCTAGCAGTAGAGTATCTCCTAAAATATTTGTATCAATTATTGATTAGGAAGTTTTTCAGATTCATTTAAAACTTCGTGAACAGTCGTTTAAACGCCTGCTATTACTTATGTTGGATAATTAAGAAGATAGGGATCTAAGTGTTAATACACACAGCTAGTGTGCGTGCGCCAGTAAACATCTCTAGAGCGCGTAACTTTGATTTATGTCAACTATTAACCATAAAAGTTATTATTAGTTTATCTCTTATATCCCCCATCAGTAATGTCTCTTGCTTATATAATACACAGAAATCCAAAGGTTGCATGCTCTTACGTAAAACTCTATCTAACTTAACTAAACACTTTTAAAATCACATTTTTATTTTGTTCGTAAAAAATTGTCTTTTAATCTTAGATGTCTTAAAAATCACTTCTTAACTTTACTCCTGTAATGATGTTTTAATCTTAAAAATCATTTCTTATCTTTACTTCTGTAATGATGTTTTAATCTTAAAAATCATTTCTTATCTTTACTTCTGTAATGATGTTTTAATCTTAAAAATCATTTCTTATCTTTACTTCTGTAATGATGTTTTAATCTTAAAAATCATTTCTTATCTTTACTTCTGTAATGATGTTTTAATCTTAAAAATCATTTCTTAACTTTACTCTTGAAAATATGTTTTTAATCTTTAAAATCATCTCTTAATTTTACTATTAAAAATCTTGTCTATAATCTTTAAAATTGCTTTTTAATTTTACTACTGTAAACATGTTTTTAATCTTTAAAATCATTTCTTAATTTTACTATTAAAAACTTGTCTTTGGTTTTTCAAAGCCCTATCTCATTTTTTTAATTTTTTAAATTACTGTTTAATCTAGCTTAAAAATTAGAATATGTCGCTTCAAATATTTGAACAATAATTTCCAAGAAAAATTTTTCATAAAAAATTTTTAAAAAAAATTGAATAAGAAAAAAAAATTTTACCTTGTATTATACTGATCATAGAACTGTTCCTGATAGTATCCCCCATAGTTGTTGGACGGGTTGTAGTTGATGACGTCAGGGTACCCCCTCTCCCCATCCACCTCCTCATCCTCATCGCGGCGTCGTGCATCATGCTCCGAGAGAAGCTGGGACGCGCTCCAATAGGTCGGGGTCAGATTGTTCGCGAAGCTTGTGCTGGAGATCTAGATAAAAAATTGCATTTTACTGATTTTTCGTGAATGTGAAATTTTATTTTTATAACTATTTTTTAGACAAAAACTCAAATTTTCTAATCCCTTTATCTTTGCAATCAAATTGTGTTAACCTTATTTATTTCAAACTTATTACTAAGATTAGCAAAATAGCATTTGTGAAAAAATTCAATTCCTTTAACAACAACCGGTCAAAATGGACCCCATGTATGCAAATATCCATCAGTAACCTAATAAATATTTTCTCTTTAAAGTAGTAGAAAATGACTGTCACTATGTCGTGAATAGTGAGTCCCCCCCCCCAATCCCCGCAGAAAATACTTTTCTACATCCTAAACCCCTTTCCACCCATTTGCATATAAATCTATCTTGGACTAAAACAAACTAGGACTTCTTGCTGGATTTGTTTATTTGAAAGATTGTAAACTATATAAACACCTGAAGCCTTTTCACTAAAAGCTCAATTTAATGGCAGGAATCCTTTTTATGATTTTCTTCAGTCTGGAGAAAAAAAACAATGAAAAAACTTTTCCCAAAATTGTCCACAACCCCTTTTTTACTAAAAGTCTAAATGTATCATCTTAAATTCGAATTTATCATTCAATTGTGGTTATATTGAGAAATCCCACATTTTCAATGTTTTCACCTTTTTTTGAATTTGAACAGGAATGAGTCGTTTTTACGAAATATTTTGGGGACAACTTTAAGTTGAACCACATGGCTAAAATCAGTATTAAGTGTCCAAGAATTAGCATATTACAACCTCAACCCTATTCATCCTGAACTCTTTTCATCTGTGCATATCAAACCAATTGCCACGCCCTTTACTCACACTTCTAAAGAGTATTGACAATATACAATTCTCCCCAGGATCGACCAATGGCCGATTGAATGAAGGTTAATAGATAGTTATAAAAGGTCCAATTAGATCAAGCTTGAATTAGGATTTTAAAACGTTGCCTTAAAGGCAATATTACCTTCGGATGTTGTATACCAGCAACTAGATGGTTACTGGTCGCTCCTTTCATATCCGACTCATAGCTGCTACTATCTGTGTTCTCAGACCCAGGAGGAGAAGGTATCTGAACCTTTACTCCGCTATTTTTTAGTCCACTGGCAAACATAGCCTTAGAAAACTTTGATCTTGTTCTACAGAAATGGAAGTAGAGTCCAAGAAGAAGAAGAAGAAGAAGGACAGCAACACCACCAATAATACCTCCAACCATTGCCCAGTCCGTAGTGTCTTCAAGAATGTTGGAACTTGGCAAAATTAGACCGGAGTCGTCGGTTGGTGCTGGGGGTGGCGGGACGTTCACTAGTACAATGTTTGACATGACAGCTTTGTTCCCAGCCTCATCAGAAGCGTATAATCCTACATAGTAATCCTGACCATAGTACTCAAAATTTATCACATGATTAACCCTCTCTCCACTTGTGTCATTACGCTTCAGACCGTCCAGAGCGGGAGCATTTGTCGAAGGTGTGATCAGTTCTTCGATCTTCTGGGAGAATACAAATCGATAGGTCATCACTTCTCCGTCATTGAAGTCGTCCCCGGGTGCTGTCCAACGAGCCATAAGTTGCTGATGCTCTATGACACGTATCTCAAGATCTCCAATTTTCCCTGGTCGAATATGATCTCCTGAAGGGGAGAGGTTTGAGATGGTGATTGAAGGTCCGTCAATGGTTCGACGGAAAAGCCCTATTTTTTCCTTTCGATCAGCAGGTATAGGTATTCGGGACCCACAACATGTATTGATGCCAACTTTGGGGGGTTTGTAAACTGTAGCAGGTCCAGGGGTAACAGTCATTGCCAGGTCGTTGTTATCATCTACCCGAACCTAGAAAATCGTAATTTTTAAGGGATTGTTCAGGGATTTATGTGAATGCAGGAGGTACCTTTCACATTACCCAAATAAAAGAACCATCCCTTAAACGTTTAATCTGAGGAATGTCATATCTTTATGGGATAACGCGTGGCCATCCAGCCATTAATCTTTGCGAGGCATACAGCTTAATTTGCAGAGTATTATCCAAACCCGACAATTTGGCAATCTCTGCAATCTTTTGCAAACTGTTTATCTTGCAAAAGATTTATGCATATTTGTTTTTAAGAAAATAATTAATGTAATAAAATTTTAATTATTTGCATTTTGGGCTTGACAAAAAGGTGTCTTATTTCAGGGGCTATTCATTGTTTATAGTTGTTAATTTATGTACACAGTCCTGTAATGTACTGTACTGTACTTTACTGCACTGTACTGTACTGTACTGTACTGTACTGTGCTGTACTGGACTGCACTGTACTGTACTGTACTGTAAATGTATACATACCTTATATTTGTATTTTCCTGTTGTAGGGTAATTTGTTATGTACCGACTGTACACTCCGTCTCCAGCTACAATATCAGGCTCTAAAACAGTACATATTGTAAACAAATAAACTAATAAACATACAAACGTTGGAAAACAGATCGACCACATTTTGGAAATTTCATGAATCATTTTAATGCGTACATTCCAAACAAAGTGATTTCAAAGTGGTAAGTGAAGGCATTCCTTTTTTCTTGGGACCCCCTGTGGTGTATACTGTATGGACTATATACAGTCTGCCAAAGGTTGTAAACAAATCAGAAAAACACACACCATACAAAATCCGCACATACACACACCAGCGCAAAATCTGCACACAATTATTTTTGCACGTTAAGATGATATCTACATTGCACGTGCCTAAGGTCGTGTGTACGTTGCCTATGATCGTGTGTACGCTAAAGAAATCTGTTGAACTGCTTTACATGCAAACACTAACCGGGCCACACACACAGCAATTAAAGTAACAGGGTTAGCGTAATTTTAAGTGACCCTCCATGCAAAGATGACAATTCCCAATTCACAACGGTACTCAAGGTTTGTCTGCTCTAGTATGAATTAGATATTACTGTTTGTAACTTTAAAATTATTTATGTTTACTTGTGTTTTCTCTACAATTGACTTGCGCATTTCTACAGCAGAAAAATCTGCAGGAATTTTCATAAAAAAAAAACTTGTATACATTTATCTTCCACATTATTGAGCATATAAAGGTTTCAAGGGTACCTTTGTTAATCTGACATTTACACCTTTATCTTTATCTTCGTTTATTATTTCAAACCAATTTCAGAATTTCCGTCGTTGTTTTCACGAGTCCCTTTCTACAGAAACCAGAATTAAAAATTTATTAAAATTAAAATTGAAAATTTAATGGATCGAGAATTGTGAAACGAGAATGTAACTCTTGAACTAGATCCCTTTAATACAAATTAAATGATCTCCTATTATTTGTCGACTGATTGCTTGCTGGGGAATAGTATAAAATGGACTTCACAAGTTAACATGCCATTAAAAGCTTTAATTGATGTAAGTATATACACTATTTTTAACAAAATAGACAATAATTTTAAGAAGAAGATTTCATATATCTTTGCAACATTATGTGGTAGACCGGCTTTGATATTTAAAACTATTTATTCTGTAAGATCACATAATTTCAGTTGGAAATATTAAAGGTTTACAAAATCAGTGTGCAAAGATATAGGTAGTATACAATTTGAATGTGTGGCAAAGACTCAAATAATTTATGTATTTAAATATTCAGTAATTAGTTCAAAATTAGCTATACGTCCCTTTAAAGGTGGAGCCCGGATAAAACAAGGCACGTAGCTTTGACTGCATGTATCCACGCCTCCGAGGCGCGCATTCATCTTGTAAATATTACGCGGCATTGTTGTACAAGTATTTGATCAATCTAGTGGACAGGTGGCAAAGGCAAGTTTTTGTTTGTTTATGATAAATTTTACTGATTTATTATAGCTGGATGTACACTGTACATGTAATTTTCGTTGTACTGTTTAAGGTATTACATGTACAATTTTATTTTTTGATTCAATTCTTTATGTACTTTTCTTATTCTTTGTCTTAATATAAAAACACGTTTTAGGGACATACATTTTTTTTTTTGAAAATGATAGCTTTTTCTTATAACTTTTCAACTTTAGGCATTTGATTTTTTAAATGTTTTTATAAAGTTTGACGCTACATTTCAATTCCTTGTGGTTATTTGCAATTAAAAAAAATTCTGAAAAATTGAACTCGTTATTTCATAATTTTTTTGTTTTTCCTTCTTAATCCCTGAGGTGTGCGGGCTGTCTGGTCTAAAAGCCTAATTCTTTGCCCCGGGATAATCCTTCACTTTTCAGAAGGATTAGATCAAAGTTCATTCCCTCCCTAGTTTGGATTTTTCATTTGTTTTTAATTCAAAGTTTTTTTACGTTTGCTAGCATTATGCAAACATTTTAAGACAAAGCAAAAAGAAGAAAAAGTTTTAAACAATTAATTAAAAATATTGAAAAATTTCACAAAAGCAAACTTAAAATTTAACATTTGATTAACATCGTATATTCTTGTGGATTAAAAGTTAAAATGTTTGAAAGTTTGAAACCAAACGATGCCCATCTGTAAATACATAGCCTCTCAATCAAAATACAATTTGACTTTAGACTGGCTGGGTGGGGGAGGGGGGGAGGATATTTTGTTAGCTTCATCAAGATACATCAAAACATTAAATGTTTTATTATTGTATTTACTTTCTTTCGTTGTCTGTATCCCCCCCCCTTGACACAATGTGACACAGCTTCTCATTAAAATACCCCTTAACAAGAATCCCCCCCTACCCCTGTTATTCCCCATCATCGTTCTTCTATTCGATGAAGCATATATGATGAATAGGTAAATGTATATAGGTGAATATTGTTATCTAGTTTCTACTTCCTAGAATGTGTATGTCATTGTTATCATTCAAACATTCAGCATATAGATTTGGAAGAAAAAAACAAAGTATAAAAAATGTTTTTATTTTTTTATTTTGGAATTAAACTGCTTGTGTGTATTGCTATTGATTCAAACGTAAATTTGACTCAAAAAGGGAGAAAAAGATTGGGTAAACTACATGGAAAATTGTATTGTCGTAACACTGTATATAAATATAACGTTAATATTATGTGTACTCAATACTTGAAACCTTACAAGATACATGTATTTAAGTGCATTTGGATTTATCTCAATCTATATAATAAAACAAGACATTCGTATATATATACGTTGTCTATAGCCGGCCAAACGGCTCGACCGATTGGGCGGAAATTTTTTGTGGACACTCATTGGTGGCCGGGGGGTGTTATAGGCTAAAAAAATTAAATATTTTGTTTTTTAAATTTTTTTTTCACGGGCAACGCTGGGCTCTTCAGCTAGAATTATGTATTTTATAGCACCGCCCCCTTCTCTTTTGGATCATCTGTGCAACCAAATGTTTAAAGACATCTTTTATTTGATGAAACTTGAATAGGGTCGGTCAGTACCCTGTAATCGTACTAAACATCTACTTATATATAAGAAGCGAGCATTGTTACCCAGTAAAAGGAATTGAAATCATATCATTCCTTTTAAGGGCAAGAAGAGCATTGAAATATTTTAAAGGGACTGCACACGTATTTCAAATGACCCTCATTAACTAACAATGTCTGATTCACAACTGTGCCCTGTAAACCTTAGATACAGTATGAGATATTTTTTAACCTGAAAATCTATTCTTATCAGTTGTGGTTTCTCTACAAAAGTGACAATTGCAGATTTATGCTGCATAGACAATGAAGATTTTTCATGATTTAATACTTTTAAAATAGAAAATAAAATGGTAACTTCGTTCCCAATTAAAGGTTTGAAGGTTAACGTGGCTATTCATCCCGTTAAATGGAGAATCATTTAAAATTTAGTTTACAGTCCCTTTCAGGTCTTCCACCCTTTCTCTTTCTACTCACGTTGAATAGGATTCCTATTGAAAATGTTAGGATGGATTTCAATGCAAATAAATAAAACGCTGTTGCAAAAGCCTGAACAATGCGAGCTTGCAGTTTTTAAATATGCGAATAATTTTTGTTTCAGACAAACCCTTCATACAATGTGCTTTATATCATCAAGTACGCTTTTGTATTGCTATAATGTCGTCTTCCTATTTCACAGTTTTCTGGTTATCACTGTAAAACCCCGCCTGTATGTATACAACTAGTGTCAATATGACACAAAAAGTGAAAAAGGGAACAGGCGATAAATTGTTGTCAAACCTTATCAATTTTATGTGAACTTGTCTAGATATTTAAACCCATATGTTTTATATTCAAGAAGATTTTAAACAATTCTTTTTTATTAAATAAAACTTAATGAATTTCATTTAGCATCGAATCACTCACATTTTCTAATCCTTATCTCTTTGCAACCTAATGTTGTTCTTTGATATTTAAATTAATTAATTGTACCAAATTCCATAGTTTAAAAATTCTACTTGCCTCCGAATCCATTATCAGTGAGTAGAAGGTCTTTGAATGCTGTCCTCTGCTCCTCCGATATATCCTGGAGGATGTCCTCCGAGTCTACCTCTATCTCAAGGTCAATAAGTACACGAGCATTCAGTACAGGGCTATCACCACGCCAAACCTAATCAGGGAAAATATGTCTCACGAAAATTTGAAATATTTGTTGCAAAAGAAAAGAAAAAATAAATGTAAAAGCTGAGTGTTCTTAGGGATTAAATAATAATAAATTAAGCGATTATGATTAGGACAACTAGATAATTAGACAACTAGATAATAAGACAAATTAGACAATTAGACAACTCTCCACCAATAAAATTCGACAAATTAACAGAACTAGACAATTCTTTTGGTTTCATATGGGATTTTTAACATCTTATATTTTGAATTAATTTTAAATTATTTTTAACATCAAAATTAGATTTCCAAATGGGGTCAGATTTTAAATCTTAAAAAATGCCGAGTGGATTAAAGACGACATCTTTTATATGAGATATTTAATTATATGAAATTAAAAAATGTTGCACTTGAATATATAACATAAAACACAATAAGAAACAAAGTTTCACAACAAAACATGAATTATATGAAAAGTTTTGATCAATAAAAATATATCTTAACACGACATGTTTGGTTTTTAGCAAAATCTTTTTTTTGACATATAACATCCAAGTCTTTGACTCAAACCTCCGGTTCAGTTAAAGTATCAAAACAATGAAGACGACCTCCTAATTCAATTTTGATTTCTACTTTCTAACATCTTGGATACACATAAAAATGGAATGAAAGAGCAGCTGTCGATTAACATAATTATTTAAATGTGTAATTAATTGTAAACCTGTAATTTGAAAAAACTTGAAGTGAAATGTCGTCTTCGGTGTATTGATATAAATGCCGACCCGTGTAGTTTAAAAAGTAAATGGAGAAAGATTGATTACCGAAGATGAACCTGAGATATGCTTTTAAGAAATTGAGCCTAGGTTAGATAAAGCAAACCCAATAAATAGAATCCTACAACTCCAAGATTAAATTTACAATTGAGACAAGACCGCGCCTTTTCCATTCGCCCCCGCAGCTTCTAAAACTTTTTAACAAATAATGTAAATAATATAGGACAAAATAGACAAATAAACAGATAGATAGATTAGCGGCTAACCATATATGTAGATCGACAGATAGATAAACACAACTAGACAGATAGACAGCTAGATAATAAGACAACTAGACAATAAGAAAACTAGACAATAAAACAACTAAACAATAAGACAACTAGACAATAAGACAACTAGACAATAAGACAACTAGACAATAAGACAACTAGACAATAAGACAACTAGACAATAAGACAACTAGACAATAAGACAATAAGACAACTAAACATTAAGACAACTAGACAATAAGACAACTAGACAACTAAACGATAAGACAACTAGACAATAAGACAACTAGGCAAAAAAACAACTTTAATAATTAAAAAACTAGACAATTGGAACACTAGACAGTAAGACAATTAGATAATTAAACAACAAAGACAAAAAGACAATTAGACAATTGGACATCTAACCAACAATAAAACTAGAAAAACAAACAGATCAGACAATTCTATGTTATATCTATGGAGTGAAATATTTAAAGTCTAAAATATAACCAGGGGCTATATACACTATAAACACTAGGTGTTATCTCTCAAATTACACAAATTTTATGCTTCAAGAATTGTCTAGAAAGCGTGCCCTTTTCAAACATAGATAGATAGATAGATAGATAGATAGATAGATAGATAGATAGATAGATAGATAGATAGATAGATAGATAGAAAGATATATAGATAGATAGATAGATATATAAATAGATAGACAGATAGAAAGATTGACAGGCAAACATGCAGTCTGGTTCACGGTAAATAGACAGGTTAGACAGATTGCTTTGAATATGAAATTTGTATACAAACTCGTCCTGTAGGGAAAGGAGGAGGGGAGGGGGGAGATTTTTACTTTTTACTGATTCATTGAATAAAACGTAAATTCTTAGTCACAAACTTAAATTGTATAAACACTATATCTCTGCAACCTTATGATTTAAACCTTAGATATTTTAAATAATTCATAGTTTGAATTGTCTAAGGTCTACGACATTGGATTGCAAAGATATAGGAATTAAAAAATCAGACTTTGTGGTAAAGACTCAATTTCTTTGGATTTAAAGCAAACATTAAGCGTTTTAAGGGTTTCATTTCGATAAACTGAAAAAAGTATTAAAAGTGTTTAATCTCTAAGTTTTAAGATTAATAAGAACGATAAATGATAGTTTTTTGTAGCCTTGGACATGAATAGTTTAAAGCTGAATATTTTTTTCTCAGTTTTTGATACAGTGAAAACCAGAAAACTCTGGAAATGGAAGACGACTTTTAGACTCAAGTTATGACTTTAAGTAATTTAATAAACATGATAATTGTGTGCATTGTAAACGGACCCATTTCCCTTAATACGTGATTTTAAAAGTTAATAGTAAAACCATTTGCTTTTTCACAACATCAAGTACGCTTTTGAATTGCTATAATGTCGTCTTCCTATTTCACAGTTTTCTGGTTATCACTGTAAAACCCCGCCTGTATGTATACAACTAGCAGGTTATCTGGCACCTATCCCACAATAGTTTCATAGTAAATATTTCCATTTACTAATAGCGCCCATAGAAGGATTCATAACACTAATTGGATAATGAGATAGATAGAAAGATAGATGTAACCGCTATGTATTTTTCTATTGGTTCAGAATATGCAACAAACACATGACTGAACCCTGACTGGATCAGGCGCTAATGGAGTCGGCATACAGGAGTGATCCTACCTTGACATAAACAGCTAGCAGGTTATCTGGCTCCTCAAGGTTGGTCCAGGTAGAAACATGAATGAGGCCGGTCTCGCTGGGCTGGCTGGGTCGAGACCTCACGGTCACTACGTTCTCGCGACGCTCGTTGATGTCATACCATTCAATTTTATACTCCCATCTAGTTCCACGCTTCTAAATAAATACATTTTTATAATATTATTGTTTTTAACAGGGTCAATAAAGTGGTTTCATATCTTAGATCACTTTTGTGTCCCGGCTGAATTTTTCCTAATTAAGCATTAATGGTCCTGCTTATGTATGATTAATCGTCATTAGGAATATAAATTTGTTTATTTTTGATATTTTAACCATTTCTGCCAATTGTAAACCCCTCATTTCTTAACAAGTCAGTTGAGCCGTGTTAGGAAAAGGGCAGGAATTACATTTTTTTAAATAGGCTATCCTACTTTTTATCATTTTTCATATCTGAATTGCATTTTTATTATACTCAAATACTTGCTAAAGTAAATAATAACCAGAATTATATCAATATCGTAAAAAAGCAGGGGACATTAGTTCCAAAACTAACACATGGCCCATTTCTAACACTGAATCACGCGCCTCTGCCCCTTAAGTAAAAGTAAACTCAATCTATATGAAGCATAAAGTCTGACCGCGTAAACCATGTTGCACCGGCTAGTCCTGTTGATTGTCTTCTTTGCTTATCCAATTTCCGTGCGGTACCGTACAAACTGGGACCGGAAAGGTTGACCCGGATCGGGAATTCAATTGTACAACGACTGCCCGTGAAGCGTTAGAAATGGGCCAAGTTTCGGAACTAATAGTTTATGCTTTTGCAATTATGGACTTTTTGCAATAAATGCCAAGTCAAATATAAGTGTCAAAATATATAATGTAAATATATCAGTGTAAACTTCACCAAGGATTTTGTAAAAAGATAGAAAGTTTTATGCTTTGTTCACATTTCTTAATTTATCCCTGTGCTCTTCAATGTGTCTATCTTAACAAAATATCCTTGACTAAATGTATACGGTAGTGTACAATGTTAGAACAAAACTACCAAATTTTACAATGTACATAAAAATACTACCAAATTGTTGAATTGAAATAAAAAACTACCAAATTGTTCAATTTAAATAAAAATACTACCAAATTGTTCACTGTACAAAAAACTAACAAATTGTTCAATTTACATAGAATACTACCAAATTGTTTAATGTACGTAACAAACTACCAAATTATACAATGTACATAAAAAACTACCAAATTGTTGAATGTACATAAACAAAAACTTACCGCATCAAAGGGTGGTTCCTCTCCCACATTAAAGTTGATAGTTTTGAAGTTTACAACATCGAAAGAAGACGACATTTTGCTGAACGGTCCGTACACATTCCCGTCGACATCACTGAACTCGACCGATTTTATCTGATGATCCTCGTCGTCTTCGACATAAATCCCGAATTCAGTTTGTCGCCCGAGAGTTGCATCGATGTCAAAAGCGCCGACTGTTGGTTCTGAGTCTTGTCGATAAATAAACTGCCGGTAGACCGTGAGCGGGTGATTATTAGGATCCTAAACAAGAAATAAATATTTTACTATGCGTTAAACTACAAATATAGACAGGGCCTATCCAAGGAAAAAAGGGAAAGTCTTTCTCCCTGTACTCCCTCCTGCACTCCCCCCCCCCCTGTTCTCCCCACCCCGATTCCCCTTCCTACAACGGCATATACAGAGGTGAATAGATATGCTGTACAATGTCCACAGTTTGAACTTTTAATATTTTGGACAAAATGGATAGATTTTAGACAACCTGTATGTATGGATAAAGAGATTCATAAAATAGACAGATTTATATGGCACAATGTATAGATAAATAGATTCATAAAATAGACAGATTTGTATGGCACAATTTATAGATAGACAGATTTATAAGACACAATGTATAGATAGATAGATTTATAAGACAGTGTATGGATTGAAAGATATATTTATAAGACACTCTGTATGGAAAGATAGATTTATAAGACACCCTGTATAGAAAGATAGATATTGAATAGACAATATGGAGCAGAGCCATTTATCCGTCTAGTGAACTACAGGAGACAAATTGAATTCAACCTAGAGATATATTTTCAGGGATAAATCAATCTTACAAAAATGTAATTTTATTTTAAAATGTCACTCATATTTTTATAGCTTGATTAAGAAACAATTTACAATAAGAAACAACAAATTTGTTAAGCGTCTACTGTCCACATTATTTCTTCATGGTTTTTTGTTCTTTTGCGCTCAACATTGAAATAAAAATTGAAACTTTATTCTTATTGGGACAGAAAATATTTTTTCAATTAACCCTCCATTTGTCTAAAGGTATGTCAGATTCACTCAGGTACTTTTTAAACCTTTGGCTGGTCAAGGATAAATGAGATATCCTAATTTGACAAGCTAAAAATTTCTTATTTTCAACTGTGGTTTCGATGCTTAAGAGGCAAAAAAAGAAAATTAACTGAAATGAAATTCATTGAAAGTTAGAGGTTTGAAGAATATCCTTTTAAAAATAGTTAAAGCCTGACTCATATAATCTAGAGCTGAATAAGAATTGGAGTGAAACAATGGATTGAAATATGATGAGATATCTGAAGGGGATCATATTGTTCCGCCCCCTCCCTCTACTTGAGAAATCCACTTACAGGTGTAGCAGAGATAGAACACTTTTAACATTTTAGAGTTTAAAAGTTTCATGTTTCAGAAACTAGGTTGTATAACATGCAATAAGAAACCTTGAGATAAAATTCAAAATTGTAAAAATGGAGAAAAAAAAACTTTTTTTTGTAAAGTTGGGACCATAGATAAAGATAGATTGCGCATAAGACGACATTTTTCATCTTGATAGATATAAATGTAAATAGATGTTTTATAGATATTCCTATTAAATAGATTAACTAGGTCGGTTGTGAACATTGGCTGTTCTTATGTCATTGTTCTTAAGAAAGCTGATTGTTTGATTCTATGTTTAATTTATTTTAAAGCTAATGGCAAAACTAGTTGCTTTATAAGATCATTAAAAATACTCAAAACTGAATAAATGTCGTATTCATATTCCACAGTTTTCTGGGCCTCACTGTGAAATTCTCGACAAATTTACCTTTGTGTCTTTTGCGACTACATCCCGCATGGCTTCGATGAAGTCCGAGTACATCTCCATCAAGTTTGATGTTCCAGAGATCCGTTTGTAAACACCACCGGAGCTTGCAGCAATCGTCTCGTAAAACTGGTTTTGCCGTTGACCGGCCAACACGATGCTTGACACTCTGACCCCGAAGTTGCTGATGACCGTTTCGATGTTCTGCTCCTGGATGTTGGTCAAGGAGTTCTCCGTCTCCTTCGTGATGATTATAAGATGTCCACCAGCTTCGTTATCCTTCAAAACCTGCTCCATTGCAACCTTTAAAAAACATTTATTTAGTTTTTTCTTTCAAAATAAAACTAAGTATCGTAATTGAAAACTAATAACACAAGGTTCAGAAAAAATGTTGAAAACGCAGAAGCTTTTCACATTTTTTTGGACATTTTGTCAGTACATATCTTTCAAAGATCAAAGACGATCTTTGAGTGGAACACCAACTCTAGCTAAATAATTTGTTTAAACTGCACTAAGTAGTTTTTGTTTGTTTCGCTGTTTTCTGACAATTTTATTTGATTTGGTTTTATTTCTGTTTGTTGATATCTGTCTACCTGAATACCACATGTAACACATCCCTCTGTACTAGTATCAAGCTTGTTAGGACTATCAGGAATAGTATCCGCCATCCGGCTTCTTACACTCTCCATTGTCAACTGCACCATCCTATGCTCTACCCTGGAGTCCGAGTTGAAGGTGACCACGGCGAGGTTGCTGTTGTCCGGGACCTCGTATCTGATCAGGTTCTGGGTAGACTTCCTCACCCACTTCCACACATCCGCCAAGGCGGAGGAGGTCTCCATGATCAGGACGTACTTCGGCAACGGTTCACGGACAATATCAAACCTTGGGATCAGACTTCGCTGGAGTTGATTCTCTCCGCTCAGCTCGGCAAAGTCAGGATTGTTGAGAATAACCGTTTTTGCGCTTCGTGCCCCGCAGAGAATGTTGTGTTTTGAGGGGGACATCAGCATTCGGTCGTCGGTTGGGCACCAGGATTTTACTCCAGGAAGGAAGGGCATATTGCCCAGGGAGCACTGAACAGCATCATTTTCTCCTTCAGGGTTAAAGTAGCAGCTTCCAGAGGCAGGGGAGCAACCTTCACTACCATTAGGGTGTAACCATACTCCTAAACAAATATATCGTTAGAACCTTCAATCATCAAAAAACACATTGTTAGAAGAATACTTATCGATGTGATCTACCTATTAGTATCAAACACAATTCGATCTTTTCAGAAACTGATAAAATTTGGCGCAGTAAAGTATAGAGATTTATTTAGTCTTCCTATTGACGGTTTATCTGTTCCACCAGTCCATTGGTCGGTGATTGCAATCCTACTGATCAGGAATGAGTAATCCCCTATACTCCAATGTCTGAAAGGGTTTTTTAACTCTATGGAAGGGAAAGGTCTGAAAGGTTTGACTAACTCTAGAGTAGGGGTTAGGTCTGAAAGGTTTGTTTAACTCTAGGGTAGGGGTTAGGTCTGAAAGGTTTGTTTAACTCTAGGGTAGGGGTAAGGTCTAAGAGGTTTGACTAATTCTAGGGTAGGGGATAGGTCTAAGAGGTTTATTTAACTCTAGGGTAGGGGTTAGGTCTAAGGGTTTGACTAACTCTAGAGAGGTTAAGTCTGAAAGGTTTGACTAACTCTAGAGTAGGGGTAAGGTCTGAAAGGTTTGACTAATTCTAGGGTAGGGGTTAGGTCTGAAAGGTTTGTTTAACTCTAGGGTAGGGGTTAGGTCTGTTTGACTAACTCTAGGGTAGGGGTTAGGTCTGAAAGGTTTGACTAACTCTAGGGTAGGGGTTAGGTCTGAAAGGTTTGACTAACTCTAGGGTAGGGGTTAGGTCTGAAAGGTTTGTTTAACTCTAGGGTAAGGATTAGGTCTATAAAGTTTGACTAATTCTAGGGTAGGGGTTAGGTCTGAAAGGTTTGAATAATTCTAGGGTAGGGATTAGGTCTAAAAAGTTTGACTAACTCTAGGGTAGGGGTTAGGTCTAAAAGGTTTGAATAGCTCTAGGGTAAGGTTTTTTTAATTCAAGGGTAGGGTTAGGTGTAAAAAGTTTGACTAATTCTAGGGTAGGGATTAGGTCTGAAAGGTTTGAATAACTCTAGGGTAGAGTAAGGTATGAAAGGTTTTTGCTAACTCTAGAGTAGGGTTTATTTAGGACTGAAAGGTCTGGTTTCAACTGTCAAGTTGTATCTCTAGTTTGGAGCTGAAGATAAGTGTTTCAAGATACACCAATAAATCAACTAGAAACATTGGGGGCACCAACGTTTATCTTGCCTCTCTATCGATCTATCTATCTATCATTGTGTTCGCTTTTTTTTACATTTTTCAGTATTTTGTGAAAAATTGTTTTCATTTTTTAAAACTGATATCTATCAGTTCGTTTGTCTAGCCCGGTGTGGTATCGTTTCATCAAAGTTTGCTACTTTTTAAATTTTAGCTTGCGAACTTTCTAACTGCCATGTTCATCAGTCTGTCTATCTTTCTATCAGTGTTTAATCCATTAATCGATTAATTAATTCATGAATCTGTCCATTTAATCTTTACTACCTATTTAACCTACACCAGGGGTAGGTCTTAAAGTAAATATTTGGCTACAGACTTAAATATTGATAACAGTGCAGATAGATACGGCAGATATATAGATAGATAGATAGATATATAGATAGATAGATAGATAGATAGATAGATAGATAGATAGATAGATAGATAGATAGATAAGTAGAAATATTGATGGATAGATAGATAGATCAATTCAACAGATAATTTTACTAATTTATAAGCTTATACATCAATGTCAACTTATCTTCACATATCTTAATCTTTTAAGTCAATATTTTTTGTAAACTTTTAATATTTTTTTAAAAATTGAGTTTTAAAGCTTGTGACTTAAACCACATTTAAAAGATTATATTTTAAATAATTTCTTTAACAAATTGGTGACGCTTTGTGGCGAAAAACAATTACCTAGGACGGGGGTATCGTAAGACCCTGTAGGTAGAATTTTATCTTGAATTTTGAAAAAGTTTGGGTAAAGAGGGTCGTTTGGGTAACCATGCTCATCAAATACTCCATATCTGTACTTGGACCATTCCTGAAATAAAATAAAATAAATTTAAACTGTTTTCTGTTCCTACCTCACCATAGTTTCAGTAGAAGTAAATATTTCCATTTACTGTTATAGCACCGATTTAAGGATTCATAACTCTGATTGGATAATGACATAGATAGAAAGATAGATGTTACTACGATGCAATTTCTATTTGTTCAGAATAGACAACAAACACATGGCTGAACCCTGATTGGATCAGGCGCTAATGGACTCCGTTTTAAACGTTTCACAAAGGAATTGAGTTTTTGCAATAAACTCCGAATATCTAATCCCTGTATCTTTGCAACCGGATGCTGGTATCCTTGATACCAACTATGAATTATGTTTGATAAAATAGCCTAAGTTTGACAAATCAAAGGTTAATAAGATAAAGGGATTAGAAAACCTGAATTTGTGGCAAAACAAATTTCATTTTTCTTCGACCAGCAAAACAAGTTGACGTCAAGCTTAACCAAAGACACACTCGCCACAAACTCTTATTTCGAATCAGTTTTTCTTTTTCAATTCCTTATGCAGTGAAAACTTTTGATGTATTGTCTGCTTGATCTTAATAAAAATCATAAAGGTTGAATGGCTATTTGGTCTAGGACCGAATTTAATGAATTTGAGCTAACTACAACTGTGTCAAAATCAAGAAGATTTGAATCAGTGATTCAGGATTTGAACTGGCCGTATAGGTAGTACAGCAACCTCTCCAATTTATTAAATTCGGTACCAGATAATTGTGAGTTAATAAGTAGACAGTTCTTTTTTAGTAAAACTTTTTGTAAAATATGAAACTTAAAAGGTTTGTTCATTTTTACATTAATCAGTATTTAATCAAATGAATCTTAATTAAGTATGTTTTCTGTATAGTCTACTTGTATGGATACTTCAATTAGTGCATTCACTTAATAAAGTGCATTATTCAGTGATAAGACAAGTTTGCATGCAAATGCATCTGGGGGCTAATGATGTAAACAAAGATCGACAAATACAGATGAAAAATATTTAAAACATTCATAACTTTTTTGACTCAAAAAGTAAAAAACGTTTTGTCTTTAAATGTTTTGACTTTTTAAAGTTTGATTATATTTATTAATATTTACAAACAGAAATGTCGAATTTCGAATATTTGTTAAAATAAGCAACTTTTAATGACTTTTAAAATCAGCTATTGGTAAATTTGTAAATTGTGTGTATAACACAATTTACAATTTACGATTTCTTAAAAGTGAAAAAATTACATTAGAACCTTAGAACATTAGCAAAATGTATGAGAACAATTAAAATGGAACTCGCCTCTAACTCAAATTTTCTGTTTCTTAAATATTTACAACCTGAGGTCGCAAATCTTTATCTTTCGAACTATGGAAATCTGCCAGATATATAGTTTCAGTAGAAGTTAATATTTGCATTACTGATAGCCCCGATTGAAGGATTCATAACTCTAATTGCATGATGAGATAGATAGAAAGATAGACGTTACCGTCATACTATTTCTAATGGTTCAGAATAGACAACAAACACATGACTGAACCCGGATTGGATGAGGCGCTAATGGACTCGGCATACAGGAGTGCAGATATAATAGTTAAATAGTTTACTCCATCAGGTTACAAAGATTCAAAAGTTTAGCACGGAGAATCGGTATTTATTTTGCAATCAATCACTTAAAAAAATTGAAGATGTTATTCTAAGTGATCTTACAATGAATAAGTACCATATTGGATTCACTAAGATACCATTGTAAACGTTGTCTGGTCAAGAATCAAAAGTTATTCGTCGTCATCTCTATCTAAAAATTGATTCTGCCTCCAGAAAAAAATGTAGGATATTGTGAGAATTAAACACTTTTCAAACTAGAAATTCGATCAAGGTTTAAATATAGATAAAGATAGATTGCGCATTAGACGACATTTTTCATCTTGAAAGATATAAATGTACAGAGATGTTTTAAAGATATTCCTATTACATAAATTAACTAGGTCGGTTGTGAACATTGGCTGTTCTTATGTCATTGTTTTTTTTTTATAAATTTCTTAAATTATATGATTAGTTTCGTTTCAACATTTATTTAATTCATTGAATTATTCCTAATTTACTTATATATCTATGTATAAATTTCTTAATTGTATTTTTTAAATAACTTTTAATTCAATTGTCAATTTGTTTTTTCTTTGAAATAATTGTTAAATTCGGTGATTAATTTCTTCTTGCTTGTAAAATATTTTGATTTATTTATTAAGATTTCAATGAGGTTGTTATTTATTACATTTTGGTTGATTTTGTGAATTGGCAGGAATTGGATTCGAATTGTATCAAACAATCGATTATTCTAAGAATCCAATTTTTTTATTATTCAAGAAAATTAAATAAATGAACTATAAATTCTTGATTAATTTATTAAAACCAAGGTTTACTCTCCATGCACTCCAATGTACGGTAAATGTTGTCTCCTAAGATAGATAGATAAAAACCTAATATGACGTCACTGATTATAGAAGCGGGAGTGACGTCATATGAGGTGTTTATCTATCTATCTTAGGAGACGACATTTCTCCTACATTGGAGCGCATCGAGAGTAAGCATCCTTATTATACAACTTTGATGATTAAAAGGCTACCTGATAAGCTACCCCTGATGCAGGATAAGGAACTGACATGTGACATCTAGCATCTCTCCAGTATGATGGGAGAACCAGGGTGATCTGAGCAAAGTAAACTCGGCGTTCAAGTCCCTCGTTTAATACTCCAGATGCTTCCGTTAACATCTCCTATAATATACAGTGGTTTGATCTAGGAAGAAAACGAATAAGTGGAAGAGAAATGGTACTGGACCGAATTGAAAAAACCAGTTCCCATGGTGTGTAGACAGGTTTCTTACTGTAGCGCATGCGCACATGAAACTCGCATGTTAAAGAACTACAGATGATGATTACTTACTGCAGTTTGATACGACAGACCACACTATATTTTTATCTGACCGATAAATGTATATTGACTTATCGAACAGCCTTTTCTAGAATTATAAATCCCTTTTCTTGGCAACATAAATATGTTTGTGATAATATTTGAGCTTCTACTACTGCCCGCCATTTCTTAGTTGATAATTGAGCTAAATTAATTCAAACAGAAGCAAATTAAACAATTAATATTTTCATATTTTCAAAGAGGCTAATAAGATCAAATTGTATTTGAGGAAGACATCATGTTGCAAAGATATTGGTATCAGAAAAAATGAGTTTCAGACAAGTATTAAACCGAATATTGAATGACGGAGACTGTGTATGTCAACGGGGAAAAGGATCTACATATAAGAAACTGAAGAAAGTATTAAGTTTCAGAAATTTCTTGTTTTCTTCAGATTTTTATGGGAAAACCTGACATAGACGTGGGAGTGATTGAATACATAAATCATGAAGTGGGTTGGGGGGGAGGGAGCAAGGAGAGAGGGGGGAGGGGAGGGGGGATAGGTTTAGGGCGGATAAACTAATAATTATAACTTCTTGAAAATCTATCAAAAGTTAATAATTATACAACACACGAAGGGAAAAAAGGAAAACGTAAAAAAAGTTGAAAATTAAAGAATTAGAGTAAAAGAGAGATATGAAAATATGCAAGGATAGATGATAATCTTAAGAAAAGGGGAGTGGAGATTATATATGAGTCATGTTAAGAGATGAGAAAATCATGAAAAAAAAGATGGGAAAGAGTCAAGAAAAAAGGGAAGAGTCAGGGCAGATATGCATTATACAACAGTCAAGGGAAGATGGGAAACAGTCCAGGAAAGATGGGAAATAGTCAAGGGAAGATGAAAACAGTCAAGGAGTTTAAAAGATGAGTAAAAGTCTAGGGAAGATGGGAAAAATTAAGGGAAGATAAAAAAAGTCAAGGATGATTGGAAAACAATCAAGAAAAGACAAGAAAAGTCAAAGAAAGATGGAAAACAACAATGAAGGACAGGAAAAGTCAAAGAAAATCGGTAACTGGGGAAAAAAGGAAAGTAAAGAATCAAAGGAAGATGAAAAAAGGAAGATTGAGACAAGTATAGGGAAAGGTGAATGAGGGAGGTTTAAACTAAGGTATTGAGCTAGAGGCCTATATGGTTTAAAAACTGTGTGTAAAAACGAGCACGAACTCAACAAACTAAATCATTTCTAACCAATTTTCAAACCACGAATACGCACACCAAGGATTCTTCAAATGAGGATTGGCAACCAGAGATTTTTTATTATTTTTAATCCTTTTCATTTAAAAGTTTTTAAAGTTTTATTAACTGCTAGACTTCCTTCGAATTTAACTTTAAGTTGTTGCTCTTATATCGATTTTTTCGTGGATTTTTCTGGATCTAATTTTTTTCAATTCTAGCCATCCATAAACCTTCTCTGGGATCATGTGAGGTCCCACCAAAAACGTAGGCCCGATCGGGTCAGCCTTTTTGATGTTTATCGGTTACAAACAAACACACAGACAATCAAATATGTATATATGATACAGATAGGTTCAAATCAACTGACTATACTCCTTTCATGTTCTAATTGTCTAATCCTAATATCTTTTCAATCTGAGGTCGTTTGAAATAGGGTTCCACCATTATGATTTATAAATGTTCTACGCGATTTGGCATTTAAAGAGAGGGCAGCGACGACAATCATTGTTTTATTGGATTAACTGTATATACACCAAAATTTATTTACTGTTAATTACTCTGACTACCCCATACCCTATTAAAGTATTTAAAAATGCCCTGGTTCGAACATTACCATAAATACTTGCTACACCCCAAGGTATGTATAATGTATAAAGAATCTAGGCCAATGGTTTAAGTATATACATAGACTCAAGATAAAAAATTTGAATATCAGAACAGTAGAGTTGAGAGAGAAGGTTTCATTTATCTGTTCAACTTTTTGCTACCTCAACTCGGGATTAGGAGTATTCAAATAAATATCAAAGAGATACATAAAGAAAATGTGATTAAAACTTTTAAATTGCTAAAAGATATGTTAAATATTTTATGTACTATAGTACTAAAAATGTATTTTTCTGAACATGTACAGGATACTATATACTCTAAATGTTTAAATACATGCAGATATGCACGCGTTTAGTCCATTGATTTCAGGGGTTTAATGGGGGGGGGGGGTGGCATACAGGAGAAAAAGGAGGTAAGTTATTTTTGTAATATAAAATCGATAAAAAAAAATTTTGCAACGATCTGAATTATGCAAGGCGACTGTGTAAAGCAGACAAAATTTCAATCTTTATTAATTTGTTTTTTTCGGTGAACATTTGTGAATCAATGATTTCGAGAAATTAATTGAAAAATCCTTCAGGTTTTAAATAGCTTTTTCAGTAGATGGGAAAGGGGCAGGGGTTGAGATACAGAAAGTTCAAATATAAAAAAGAAAATGTATTTGAAAAAAAGCTTTTTTTACCTTCAAATTCTGTATGTATTTATGACAATCGTCTTCTGGCACATTGTCGCCAATTTTAACAACAATATTTCTATATCCTCCATCACGTCCTAAAAATAAACATTTATTCGTTTTTACATAAAGAATTTCTTGTTATTATCTTAGATTTTGTTGCTTATTTTATCAACTTGTAAGAGATTCTTTTTAATAAATAATGAAATAATAAAATAACACGAAACGTGTTGCGGATTTTTGTTTTATTTTTATTGATAGTTTTCAAAATGAAATTTTTTTAATTGTTCTCAATTAAGTATAAATTTGTATTTGAAAAAAAAAAATTGAAAAATCCTACCTATCGTTATACTGGAAGCGTAGGACAGAAATGTGAGTAAGGAAACAAAAATTTTCAATTTCATCCTAGCCTGCAGGATTTAAAATTAAACCGCTAATTCACTCATTTACCAACCTTGAACAATGTACATGCCTGAAAAATAAATTAATTATTATTATAAATACAATGTTTATAAAAATTGTTTGAAAAGTAAAGTTAAACAGATAAAACTAGAAATTCAGCAAAAAAGCTAAAAAACTCTAGAAAACTAAAAGTTAAGAGTTTGACATAGATTTGAAGAAGGTTAATGAAAGAAATGCATGACAGAGTCCGTGTCTCATGAACACGACATAAATCTAGGAATTCGGCTTGAAACCATTGGCTTGAAACACATCAGTGCAGTATTAGGCAACTTCAAGCTTCAAACATCATTCTACAGTCATCCTGTTCTTTTCATTAACCCTTTCCATTCATCCATTCATCTATTCATCCTTCCCTCCTTATAACTTTCTCATCCAATCTTAATTTAGCCTGAGAAAACAAAATGGCTGAGTTCTTGTGTCAGCTGTCCTTCAATCCATCAACAACTTCACAGATTTCTTCAACACAAATTCCCTCCCGAGAAATTTTGCATATTCAGTATCAAAACAGAGTGCGGGAATACGCACAAATTGAGGGCTTTAAAAATGCGCAAAAGAAATGGGCCGAAAGTTTTTTACTAAATGCGTCAGGAGGATTGATACGCCAGAGTTTTGAATAAAGCGCCAAGAATGAAATAATACGCTGCTCGAGTTTTTGTTGGCTCTGTATTTGTCTGTAGGTCTGTTTATGAATGTATGATGAATATATAGGTTATACTGCCACCTGTAACATACATACTTCAAGTGTTCTTATTCTACCTTCAATATATTTAGTATTAGTCACTCTATACAATACCCACAAGTAGTCCCTAACATACCCCTTTGAACCTCCCAAAAACCTTGTTTTTGTTCAACTTTAATTGAAAACAGTTCTGATTAGTTCTGCTTTAAGATACAGGCTAAAATAACGGGAAAACCCAAAATGAAAATAAATACAAACCGTTTAGCCATTATGAGCACATTTTCATTTATAACTATTGTTAATATCTCGTGTTAAACATTTGTATGAAGTATTCAAAATGTAATTTACAATATTAACCAATAACAAATACATAAAATCCGCGAAAAAAAGTTAAGATGGCGACTGGCATAACTTTCAGAATACAAATGGCGCCAAAAATAAACTTCAAGATAATTACAAATTCTGTTTTGCAATGAAGTAATTAAAATATTTTAGGGAACGGTTCATGAAAAGCCCGCGTAATTAAGATAAATTTAACAACTTAATGAATTAATAATGCTAATAAACGGGCGCGGTATAACCTGAGTTGAGTTCCTAAAGCAAGGTTGCCTCTTTAAATAGACTCCGACCCCCCCCCCCCTTCCCCTTCTCTTGTGCTTACATCAAATATTTTAAAATGTAAATTTGTTCTTTTCTGTTTTTTTAAGTTCACATAGCTCCAAATTGGGGGTCTCCAATGGAAATCTGGGAATTTCCAATGAATAGCAAGGGGTTTCCAATAAAAATCTGGGGGTCTCCAATGAAAATCAAGTGGTTTCCAACAAAAATCTGGGGGTCTCGAATAAAAATCTGGGGGTCTCCAATAAAAATCTGGGGGTTTCCAATGAAAATTTTAGGGTCTCCAATGAAAATCTAGGGGTTTCCAGTAAAAATCTGGGGGTTTCCAACGAAAATACGGGGGTTTCCAACTAAAATTGCAGTTTTTCTACATCCTGTTGTGCAGAATTGTTGCAGTTCATTATTCCTAATTGAACAAGTTTAAGAATACAACCAATCTTTAAACAGATCACGCAAAGATTAAGTATGTCTAAGTACATTCTCTGGCTGTATCAGAATGAACTCAATCACGTTCTGATATACAGAGTTACCCACAAAGAATGAGACTGTAAAGACGACCGGAAACTCTTGAAATATGGCTTATTCAATGATTTTGAAAAGAAACAAATAAGTTTACGGATGCAGGGAATCATGAATGTAATGAATCAGAAAGTATAAATTCCGTACAATCCTCTCTGAAGTCTCATTCTTTGTGGGTAACCCTGTATTTATATATATGTAAAGCTCAAATTGATTATATTCATGTAAAATATAGGTTTATGGGATAAAAGTTCTAAGTTTTTTTTACACACAAATAAAACATTGTGTTTTCGAAAAAAATTGTTCAGAAAGTTACAAACAGATACTAAATTTCTAATCCAAATATGATAAATCCGTTATAAAATTTAAAAGAATTTCTCTGACTAAAATCGGGTTCTTTAAAACGGTAACTTTTCTTTGAATACTTGCGTTTACATTTTTGTAGATTGTTTAGTTACAAAGGATTGGTATTGGACCACAATATATCAATTTCACGCCATTTCAAGAGTTGACATCTTTCACACAGATAATTTGATTAACAAAGGTCAAGGATAGACGGGGAGGAGGGGGGAGGTGAATAACATTTGAATGAAACCCTTCATCTTTGTGGAATGAAATAATTTCCTGAATTTAAGGAGAATGTTTATGTTTATGTTTAAGGAGAATGTTTATGTTTATGTTTATGTTTAAGGAGAATGTTTATGTTTATGTTTATGTTTATGGTTAAGGAGAATGTTTATGTTTATGTTTAAGGAGAATGTTTATGTTTATGTTTAAGGAGAATGTTTATGTAATCTATAACTTTCTAAGAAATGTTTAGACATTTATTTTTACCAAGATTAATATTTTTCAGACCTAATATATAGACAGGGTTACCAACAAAGGATGAGACTTTACCCAAAACCTTTACGATCCAAGGGTTAATAAATTCGTCTGCTTTGAATAGTCTTTTACTAGCTTATTAAATGATTTGACAAAGAACAAATTAGTTTACAGTTGCAGGGATTCATAAATAAAGGAGAAACTAACAGTATTAATTCCGTACAATCGTCTATGAAGTCGATCTCTCCAACAAAAAATGTATGGTTGGCGGGTACCGTTAAAGGGAGTGACCGGCAATGCATAGTAGTTGAACTGAGACTGAAGTATTAAGAAGAAATTTGTTAGGATTCATTCGGGATGTATAAAACGTTTTAATGGTAATCACTGAGTTTAACTGATTAAATAACGACGACGAAATATGTATCAAAAATCCGACAGTAAACTAATTAGATGTTTAGGAACATATTTCTTATTGTAAAAGTGTCAAAAAATCAATGTTAGAATCAATTATTTCTTTTTCATCATTATATTAAATTTCTTATTCATTACGAATTTTTTCGCAGATTTCTACAAATTCTTCAAATGTCATTTTTTCAATAAAAATTCCAGTTTTATAGGTCTCTCATGAGTCCTAAAAATTTCTCCACAACACAATAACATTCTCAGTTCGACTACCATACATTGCCGGTCACTCCCTTTGAGAATTGTTTATAACACTTATTAGACAGAAACGCAACTAAAAACTGAATAAAGTGTCGATTCTTAATTTTAATTCTAGATGTTTTGTTTTTATCCAATGAAGCTGTTCAATTAAATAATCAATTATTTCAATGATTATCCATTCTACTAGAGACGTGCTAAATCTTTAATTTTGGTGATTTCAAATTNAAGGGGAGTATTGGGGGGGGGATGGATGAACGAAGGGGAGGGGTAGAGAAAGATAGATCACACCTTTACAGGAAATATACAAAGGAACTGAGTTCTATCCTCAAACTCGAATTTTCTAATCCCTAAATATATCTGTGCAACCTGGTGGTGTAAGCATCTGGTATTTTAAACTTAAACTATCTTATCAACATAATTCATAATTTGAAATATCAGAGGTCAACGACATCGGGTTGCAAAGATTTATAAATTAGAAAATCAGAGTTTGTGGCATAAACTCAAATCCTTCAGGATAAAGCAGATAAGAAAAAACAGAAATTAATAAATTTTAGAAATTTTTTTATTAATAAGGAGATTAAGAAAATATAATGAAATATATACAAAAAAAACATGTCACATTTAGAGCTATGGGGGGCAGTCAGGGTTAAAAGGTGGTACAAAGGGGAGTGGGGAAAAGGCGGGGAGGAGGAAGAGGAGAGGGGGGAGGTAATAAAAGTGGGAGGAGTTTAGTTAAGATAGTGCTTAAATTAAGATATAATGGCTGAATTAATTAGTGTTTAGTATTAGAAGTATAGTCTGCAAATTGTAATGTGCAAAAACTAGTGTGAAATGTGCAATGTTTCGTGTGCAGAAATTAGAGATGTGCAAAAAGCAAATTAGAAATTGAAAAAAAGAAAAATCATTTTATGCCAGTAGCACTGAAAAAATATCTGACTGTGTATTGTATGTCCGTAGGTTTCTAGTGTGTGTCTGTGTGTATTGTATGTCCATCGGTTTCTAGTGTGTGTCTGTGTGTATTGTATGTCTGTGTATGGATGTCTAGTGTGTGTCTGTGTGTATTGTATGTCCGTAGGTTTCTAGTATGTGTCTGTGTGTATTGTATGTTTGTAGGTTTCTACTGAGTGTCTGTGTGTGTATTGTATGTCTGTAGGTTTCTAGTGTGTGTTTTGTTTGTGTGTGGGTGTCTAGAGTGTTTCTGTGTGTATTGTATGTCTGTAGGTTTCTAGTATGTGTCTGTGTGTATTGTATGTTTGTAGGTTTCTACTGAGTGTCTGTGTTGTATTGTTTGTCTGTAGGGTTCTAGTGTGTTGGGGGGGGGTAAATGTTTATACTACTAACATATATATAAAAATCTATAAAATTGGACCAGGTAGATTTTTTAGATGATGCAAAATTTTATATTGTAACTTTCTATTAAAATGATAGTAATATTATTTCGTAAACAAAACAAAAAATTAAAATAAAAATCTTTTTTCAAAGTTATTTGCTTATTGGGGCTTCCTGTAAGGTTAGAATTGCCTTTGTATAAATATTTCCAAGTTGGCAGGACATGGAATGATTTTAACAATAGAGTTTTAAATAGATCAACCCACATTGGAGATACAGTTCATAATGCGCGCACGCGCGCTTTCCCACAGGTTTTGGAACATATAGAGAACTTCAAACTATAGATAGAAGGAGAACGTAAAATTTACGCAACATCACTG